CCCTTCGTTTAGATCATCCCTTGATCTTTTTCATCCTTCCGCCGGCGGTGTTGAATTCCAAAAAGAAACGAGGTTCACTTGGCGCGCTTGCGCTTCTGTCTCTTATTCCTTCCACGTCCCCCTGGCCCACCCTTGGGGTGAAGCTCAAGAGTTTGAAGCGGAACACGAAGAGACTTCTGAAATTGGCGCTGGTAGGCTTGGGCAGTGCCATTAAATGCCAGTTTGAGTTCAGCCAAAACAGCTAGACCCTCATTAATGTAAATTCTAGCCGTTTTGTTCGGGGCCCACCTCCCCTGAATGAGGAGGCGGTCCAGGGAGCCGTGCCGGCCAAAATACATGGTGGCCCCGCCTCTTCTCAGGCTGTAAGGCTGGAAGTCATAGCTGTCAAGCTGACAGGCTACAAGGCACTCATTAAACGTTTTTCTCCAGGCATGAGGGGTTCCACAAAGTGCTGCTGGGGTGTGTGGCGAGTTCAACCACTGCCAGAGTCTTCTCAAGGTGTCCTCCTCCCGAATTGTGACACTCTCGGCTGCTCCTGCTCTCTTTCCTCCCTTTGTGAGGCCAAGGGAGATCACGGCCGGGCTGCGAGGCCCGGACTGGACCACATGCGCTTTCTGCACTCCAAGTAGCTCCCCCGTGCGCAGGAGCCCGTGGAATCCCAAGAGCAAAGAAAGGGCAAACAACGGCTGCTCGCGGAACAGAGCATACCCTGCCAAGACATGGAGGGCTTCCAGAGGTAGCGGGGGTGCCCGGTTGGGCAACTCATTGGACGACCACGTCTTCAGAAGGCGCCAGGCACTGGGTAGGTGTCCACGAAGGAAAGGGTGGAAGTCTTGCACTGCCGCCACGCTATCACATGCAAGTGCTCGCCCCTCGCCAGTCTCCCATAGATGTTCGATATAGTGGGAAAGGATGTAGTCCTGGCCTGCCGCATCTCGTGGATAAGGTCGGTTTTCTTCTCGCAGGAAATTTCGGTAGCGCTCCATAGCTTTATCATAACGTGCTCTAGTTTTGCTTTGGACTGTGAGATTTCGAAGTGGTCCTAGTCTTCTCCTCTGTGCTTGCCTGGCTGCTTTACTCCTACCTTCAAGGTGAATTCCTGACTTTTTCACCATTTCTTTTTGACTGGCCGCCGCGATGGGCGGTCCGCAGGGTTTTGAGAAGTATGGACATACGCCCATACTCCATGACTCCCCGAAGCTAGGAGTAAAGCGTCGATTCGGCTCAGGGTCCTTCTCATCTTCCGGCTACTGCTCCGGCCCCGAGCCAAACAATGCAAGCACACAAGACTGTCGATCATATGCACCATCTTCGTTCGAAATGCACGTCGTTTGAGGATACGCCACCTAATGCTGGTGAGGACTGCCCGCAACTCGAGGACGTTGATGTGCTCAGGTGACCCTGACCAGCGCCATCCCATGACGGTCCGCCACTTCCAAAGCTTTGCCGGGAGGCTAGCTCTCAGTCGGTGGTAGCGAAGAGTATCTTCTGAGGGCGCCTGCAACATGATGTCTTCTCCTTTTAGGCTAACCAGGTTCAGGAGCTTCCTCACAAGCACTTGCTCCCCGTCTGGCGAGCCCCTTTTCCTCCCCGATTGCATAGGAGGTCTGTAAAGAAGTCCTGCGAGCTCACTGGAGGAGCCTGGAGCTGTTCGGTCCACAGCTTGCTGAGGTGATAGGAAAGCACATAGACCCAACTGCCCACCAAGCTGCGCAACCAACCAGGTGACGACCGTCACATTCCATGAATTGCCAATCAAAGTTTTCCTCTCATCCAGGTGCTGAGGTGACCCTTGCCATTGCTTAGCCATGCACTGCACAGTGTACCCCTTGGGGAACCCCATGATCACCTCTCTCTCTTGGATGTCTGGAAGTCTGGGGTTCTTTGTGGCGTCAACGACCATGAGCTTCTCTTGGTACTGGTATGGTGGAAAGCGGAAGCAATCCTCTTCCCACCAAAGCCTCTCCTGAGGACTCAACCTGTCTAAACCTGCTGGCCTCCTGCCCGCATGACTCCTTGGTCTCGAGGTGGTGAATGTCGGGAACGGCTCAGCTGACGCCTTGCTGCATCCGGGTTGGAGGTAGCGCTCCGTAGTCACCTTCGCCATGAGTTCAATCTTCCGGAGGCCTGAGTCACCTGCACCTTCAAGCGGACCTACCGAGACTCCTGGACCTGACTGCAACTCCCAGTCACACCAGTACAGCCTCGGCCTGCGTGCTAAAGACACTCCACTAGCATCTATCTGTACTGGCAGATCTCCAAAAGACTTCGTCATGACCATTCGGTCTGGGCTGTCCATGCTGGCCACACTTTCCGCCAGGTAGCGCACCTGAGCCCATGTGAACTTCTGCTTCACGATGTCCCGAATGCGCTCGACATGGGTGAACAAGGAGCTGCGGTGATCTCGCAATGCTCCCCGACGGTCGACGTTTAATCCACTGACTCCTTGACAAGGAGGTCCAGCTCCTATGAGTACCAGGGACGCCTGAGAGAATTGGCAAGCCCATCGCTGAACCTCCTCCTCCGTGACAGCTTCTACACCTCCTTCAACGAAGACTGTGGCCGGGAACTTGCTCTCGAGCACTCTGCTTGCCGCTTTGTTCACCTCGACGCTGATGTGCCCTACCACGGCTAGACCACAAGCGTCCGCCGCTACACGAAGTGCTCCTATGCCGTCAAAAAGCCCAATGGTAAGTACCCCGTGAAGGTCATGGGGTTCTGCAAGGTCACCTCTGGTCGTCGCTTCCGATGCTGCTACCCCAAACCCTGTCAAACCAGTGCTGACTGTCAAACCACCTCCCGATGTAGATGCATCACTGGCGGTAACTTCTGAAGAGATGTTCAACCGAAAGTCCAACTTCGCCAGAGGGATCAAGCAGAGGAATCTGGCTACCTCAAGTTTGACTCCGTCAGGTATGGGCAGCTTGATCACCGGGGGGTACCCACGAAAAGCCTCGATGAACCTCCAGATGTGATTCAGACAACCCAAGAGGGGCCGCCTGAACATGCTCAAGTACACCAAGCCCCCTGCAATGACTTGTGCTTGTTTCTGACTGCTCATGACCTCCTTCAGAAAGAGGATGGACAGGGCTGTGTACTTGTAGACCTTCACGGGCTTGGGGTATGCAATGCCTAATCCACCATCAATGATCGCTCCTTGCACTTCTGCCACGAGGGCTCGTGAAACCGCCTTCTTTGGGTGTCGGGGGACGCCCCAAGCCTCATACTCCGCTCTGAGCGCCAAAATGCCTGGGCTACACTCCCCGCTCAGGAGTTCACTGGACCCTTTCGGCACCTTCTCCAGCTGGTCAAAGTTGTCGAGGTAGATTCGATGAAGCGTGGACGAAGACGAGAATGGCCTGTCCTTTCGGACTTCTTGCTCTGGCCGAAGCTCTCCCCCCGTTCGGGTTGAAGACAGCCTCACGAGATTCCTGTGAACGTGCTGTGCCAGGCTGACCGAGTTCTTGAATCCCATGGGCAACACCTGAGAAGCAATGTAGTAGGGTCCATCATCGCCAGGCCACATGTCTTGCGGTATGGGTTTGTTGAAGGCCAAGAAAGGGTGCCATTCACATGGCACCCGGAATATATAGAAAAAACAGCGCACATCTTCAGATGACACCACCAGGTCCTCAGTAGGCATCAATTGAAGTGGCCCCATAGTGGCCCAACTCGGAAGCGTCGCAACGTCTCCTTCAAGTCCTCTACAGACATTGTTGCATGGCCTCAGATCCATGATCAGCCTGTGTATGGGGATGTCGCCCGCCATTTCGTCCTTCTTGACTCCAAATAGGCCGTTGAGAAGTGGCTGGCCATCAACATGGTGGACCTGGCTCCTAGAGATGATGGTGCACACTCCATTCCTCGTCAAACCCTCGCAAACCTCCCGCCAGTGCTCATCATGCACTAGCACTCGTGGCCCCTTCATGGCGCGCTGCATCTCCCTGGGAAGGAGATATTCCGTGAAGTTCTCGACATAGTGCCTACACCCCAACTCACACACTGCCGCTAGGTCAACGGAGGCTATCTCTGATGGCATAGCTGGTGCCAAATTGGCCCAACTAGTGGACTGAGCGCAGAGCACTTCGTCTCCACAATAGTCGATGGTTGTCAAATGAAAGAAGTCCTGCCACGAAGTCTGCTCCAATCGTTCGGGCCAATTTGATGCCACTTGAGCCTCCCTAGCTAGGTGCTTAACCGCCTCAACCTGAAGAGAAGTAGGGTAGAAGTCATTCTCAGCCGCCACTCCGTAAAACAAGTTCAGCGCCACGCACATACCTCTAACCATTCCCACAACGCCCTGGTCAGCGCCTATGATGTCCCCTAGGTAGAACGTGTTGGTGGGCAATGGAAACACATCACCCTTGGGCTGGGTCTTGCACTGCTCGTCCAAGCCTACCTTTGGACAAAGAAGAACCAACTCGTTCACCAACCAAGGGACAACTTGAACCAAACCATCCCCAGCCACCGGCGGCCGCATGCAAACTTTTTCAGCAGACGAGGTCGTCAAAGAGGTCTCTTCTGCCTGAAGGCGCGATGGATCAGCCAGAATACCTGGCCCGACGCCTGCTCTTGGCCTGAGTTCAGCTCCGTCGACATGAGTGCCGTGCCTCAAGGCCACTGGGAAAAAACTGCCCACCTCTTCAAACGGGGCCTCATAGGTTGAGGGCGGACACCCTCCTGTATCCAGCACGGGCGATCTCTGGCACCTCACTTCTTCTGCTCTCCTCGATCTCCTTTGTCTTTTCCCTTCTTTCCTTTGCCCTTCACATCCTTTCCTTTTCCTTCGTTGCCAAAGTCTCGCCAATGCCAGCTGTCCGATTTGCCTTTGCCTTTGGATGCTTCCGTGCGGGTTTTTTGCTCCTCTTTTTGTTCTCTGATTGCCTCTTTTGCTTCCCCCCTTGAGGAAAGAAGGGGTCTTTCCGGCGGCAATACCTCGAGCCGCTGCGCTATTTGCCACGCGGAGCCCTGTGACACCATCTCGACCGACTTCAACCTTTGCACCAGGGCGTCGACGCATTCCGCCATCCGCCCTTGCAAGGCCAGATCGATGGCCCAGCAAAGGGTCAATCCTTCTCGACCAGGTCCACCTTGAAGACGAGGGGCCAACGTCTGCCGGAAATACTGGCACGCCAAGGGCTGTATCGCCGTTTGATCTTGCTGCCATATCCCACCTGTTGCCGTGAGCAGGCTGGTCTGCATTTCCCGCATGGCCAGGGCCGCGAGAACCCCAGGTGCTCTCCTTGACAACCGACGAACTTTTTACTGCTCCTCGAAGACCTCCACCGACTCGGACGTAGTTGTGTCGTCGCTGCCTGAACTCCCCGTCGAATAGGAGTCCTTCTTCTTCTTCTTGGTTTTCTTTTGAGCTTTCTGGGCATATCGACGACGATAGCGGGGGTCTGGATCCAGGCCGGTTCCTCCGAAGACCTCCTTCAGCTCTTTGCGGGCACCTGCCTTCAGGTCGATCCTCTCTCTGCTTTTCTCGGGGCTCCTTCCGCGGTCTTCGCTTCTCTTCCTCTTTTTCTTTTGCTTCTTCTTCTCCAGCTTCTCCTCTCCTGCAGGGGCCTTCGCCCCACCTTCTTTGGCCACTCCTTCCTCTTTCTCCCCGACCAGGAGAGGCTCTCCTCGTCGTCCTTCTGGCCTCACGACCTCTTCGATCAGGTTTGCCATCCATGGATCGTCTTCTCCTGTCCTCTTCTGGACCAATGTCCCGTGTATCAAGTCCTCGGCCTCTAGCCTCTCGGGACACTTGTCCCCGCAAAGGTGGATCCTGACTTTCTGACCTGGGTGGCCTGTCGACCATCTCAACAGCGCTTCTTCGTTTGTCCCCTGAGGCTTGATCTCCAACTCGACGTCCTTGGGAGTCCTGATGTAGAGGTTGTCCACCAGGCCCGCTACTGAGGTCCGAGCGCCCCAATACACGCCCTCGAGGTAGATTGGCAAGCCCCTCCGGAACACCTCCATTGGCACCTCTTCGCATCCTACCTTGTCTCCTCTCTCGAAACTAGCTGCAGCAGCTGCAAGGCGCACCACTTCACCTTCAGCTCCTCCACCAGCTTCACCAACACCAGCCTCTCTTGCTGCTGGCCTGCGCCGAACTTCCCCTCCCCGTCCAGGAGGCGGCCGAACTCTTCCAGCTGCCGGTCGATGCCTGGGTGGCATCCCTCACCTTCACTCCTCACTGCACGTCTTCCTGGGCGCGGTAGTAATGCCGCTCCCTCTTCTTTGCACCTTTATTCTCACCGTACCACCTGGGATGTAGTTTCCAGGAGGGCACCCTTCCGTCCCACTTCTTGACAGCCGGCCGGATGATGGGTGGAACTTTCTTAGGAGGTTGATGCCTCCCCGGAGGTGATCTCGATGGTGTTTTGGGTGGTCTCACTGACGGTCGAGCCCTTTGCTCGGTCCTCTCCACTTCAACTGGCTTTGAAGGCCTTGACTCTCTCTCCTTCTTATCTCTGGAATCCCTTCTCCTTCTCTGCCTCGACCTTGATCTGGTTTTGCTCTTCCTCTTCCTCTGGTTTCTGCTTCTACTCCTCGTGTGGCTTCGCCTCCTCGATCTCTGCCTTGAATCCTTCTTGATGGGCCTTGAAGAGCTCGAATATCGTCCTTCCTCAGCCTCCTCTCTGACACGTACCTCCCCGACAGGAGATGACCGTGAAGCTTCCTCCTCTCGCTTTGTAGATACCCAGGCTTTGTCGGGCTTTGGCTCTTCTTCCGCCTTCTCTGTGTTCTCACTCCCCGCCTCAGGAGTTCCAGATGGAGCTGGGCTCTTTGCCTTGGATATCGCGGTGCTCTCAAGGGCCTCTCGCTTTTTCTGCGCCTCGTGGAACTTGTCGGACTCCTCGGCGATCACGCTAGTCCACACTCGCAACGAGTTGATGGCCCAACCTCTGAGTGGCACCGGGATGTCGTCAAGGACCACCCAAAACTTGTTGCGGCACCTATAAAAGGTGCACAGATCCTCCTCCCCGTTGGTTAGGAGGCCGCACGCAGTGCACCGCATAAGCTGTGAGCCAAACTCTATGGCGAAAAACGATTTCGAACCCGGTCGTCTTAAATTCCGGGGGCGTAACATCATATATATATATATATATTTATTACTATACACCAATTGGGTCCGATTCAAACCCATGCACCAGTTCCTTTACATCATATCAGGTACCCAAGAGTGTTCTACTCAGAGTTACACCAGAGGACCAGTCGGGTATGCAGGTCACTCACTTGCTGATGCCAAACATGACGCAAAGGTCCCACTCGTCTTCTCTTCTCGAAGGTGACCGATGGATGCCACCAGCGCCAAGCGGCCCAATCCACGTTTGGCGATAGTGGCGCTGGGCCACCTGAGTGGTGAGCAAGTCACACTCGCACTTCGTCGTCGTCGAGGTGTGGCGAGAACAAAGGGGCACCGAAGCATCCTCCAACAATCCCAAGCAGGACTCCAAACCCTCCACGAGTGTGACCGAAGTTTTGAGGATTGGTGCCCAGTGACCGAACTAACCCAGCTGGGATCCGAACTCCAGGTCACTCAGCGATCTCAAGGACGGTCATTGGGAAGCAATGATCCAGTGATACGACGTGCGTTCTTCCAAGTGCTACGACACCAAAGACTCGCTGGGACGCGTAGCGTTCGTTTACAAGCGGGGCATCGCGGACCGACTCGAGTCCGGAGCGATCGGACGCGGCACCGAACGGGGCGACCCTGGCCTTACTAGTAGCAAGAAGCTACGAACGGAGCAAGGACGCTACGAACGGGTCCCGCTTCAGGGTTGATCTCGAATCCATGTTGAGTAGATCTTTCCAACTAGTTCTAATTCTAAACCCCCAACAGTTGGGACCGAAGAGTCCCGCGATCCGACGAGAACATCGGTGCGTTCCGCGCGCCCGGTCGAGCTGCTGGAGGGTCGCGCGGTGTTTACCGGATGCACTGGGCCCTCCTTGGGTCACCTTTGGGTGTTTTTGGGTCGTCAGGACCCATGCAGCGGATGCTTTTTTCCGTTCCTGGAGAGAAAACACAGTGGCAGGGGGGTCTTTAAACCACACGAACTCAGTGGTGGCTGTAACTATCCTTTTAGTGGGAGGGTCGACTGCTAAACAGCAGTTATCAACCCGGGACTGTCGACGACTTCCCGCAAGTGGTAAAGAGAGTTTGGGAGGTTGCTTCATCATCAGAAAAAAGAAAGGTTAGGCTTTGCTTGATCTATTTGATTTGAGAGTAGATGGTAAAGAATTGCGAGGGGACCGTTCGCCAACCGTCTGCAGTGGTCTGGTCGGTCTAGGGGTTGTGCCATCTTCTTTGAACCTGTGGTCGATGTTCAGTAGTCAAGTGTGATCTCCTCTACCCAAACTACTAAGAAGCTTTGGGAAATCCTGTCACCAGCCTAGGCCTTTCGTGGAGTTTCGTCGACTCATCGACCCATCGAACTCTCCTCCCTTCTGCGGGCCACAGCTGCAGCTGGAGGAACAGCCAGGGGAGTGGCCTCAAGAAGCTAGGGCTTCTCAAGTGACCAAGCTTAGTCAGCTTCTCCAAAAGATGGAATCGGAGGGCGATTGCAAGGAATGGTTCGCATTGTGCGCCCCCCATGCTGTGTCCAGAGTCGCTTCTTTTTCGCGTTGCGACGAGGTGTTGTGAATTCGACTGTGTCCATGCACAATCAGCCACCAATTGCAGAACATCTTGACGTTCGCCCAAGTTCCGAGGGGTTCATGCTGATGTTTACCCCCATTCTGAAGAGGTCTTACAATCCAAATATCGCGGGGGCTTTATGAATCAAGAGTCCACAATATAACATGAGGAGCTGGGTTTTGATCTGTCTCCTCCTCGAATGCGCGACAGCCCCATACATACTCCAAGAGGACTGAGATTTACCTCTCAACACTCTAGGATTCGTAGCCCGCAATTGGTGTTTACTAGCCTGAAATCCCGAACAACCATTGCCTTACTGAGGATGTTACACTACAAAATTAGGTGAACACGTTGTTTAATGGTCGAACTGAAGGCTAGGGAACAGCCAGTCAGCTTTCCAGCTTGAAAGGTTGACTGACGACTGCAGAAACAGAAAATAGGCTACTACTGGTGGGCTGGTGGGGAAGGCAGTTGATTCCCACAGATCCTGCACCAAACACTCAATTTGACCTCTTCCAGGTTTCATCCTCCCCATCCGTTTGAGCCATGCGCCCCATGGCGTTGTTCAACACTGAAACTGCCATACTCCTTCCTTCCCATGTCTCCTGCGCCCGACAGAAACATCCTCTTCCACAACCCCTGTGCTTTCCCTCTACCCTCCTTGCCCTCCTTCCATTCGGGTGAGGCTGGACAACCTGACTGACCTGATTCTCCAGACAGGACACCTGATTGTCGGACGCACGGGCCGCGTTCCAGAACCTCCGCGTTCCAGAACCTCCTTTCCCCCCCAAAGAACCTCCAGAGCCCCCAAGCACCCCCATCACAGCCCAGTGGCCACCGGCCGTGGTGGCATCGAGCTCGGTGGGGCGCTCAGCACCAGTGGGCTCGGGCTGGGGCCCAACGCGAGCGGAGCGGGGCCCAGCGCGTCCGGCTCCCGCAGTGGCGACACCGACTGCGGTCATTGGACGACGGGTGCCCACGGTGCTTGGAGAGTTGGGTAAAGCACCAGCTGAGAGTCCCATGGAACTGACCTACCCTTTTTCCAGGCCCGTTGCCATGAAATAACAGAGTATCAAGTTCGATCACTTTGAAGAGGTAGTGACCTATTCAGAATTGGTGCGAACAAGACTCCAGGGAGGTCTCCAAGAGCAATATCAAGACGATTTCCCTAAATGGATCTAAATGGCTCTTTGTTGAGCACCAACCCCAGACGTACCCAGACGTACGGCACTCGGGTGGTTTGATGCACGAAGTGTTTCGCAGACCAAGCTCTGCAAGACTTAGTTCTGTGCTCTGAAATGGTCTGACGCAGTTCTAGCAACATTGAAGGTGCCATTGAAGACCTTACAACAAAGGCATGTAATATGATAAAGTTGCCTGGAGGGTCGGAAAATACAGCAGATGGTGCGACGGTGCCGGCGTTTTGAGGCCCAGGAACCGCGTGTTGGTTCTGGGGCTGCACTGGACCAAACCAGGTGCGCATCCTCCATCGCCGACGCTCCACAGAGTTGCTGAGTTGCCCATTCAGGCTGCCAAAGGTCATGTAGAGTCATGTAGACAGAATCTGTGACAATCCCAAGAAGTTGGTAATCTTCTGAATGGCCTTTGTCCACCTACGTGAGGATGACTGCATTCCAGTCATCGACAAACCCCTGGTTCCGCGCACCATGTGGTCATCATTCCCCTCCAGATCCCGCATGCTTCGCCCCCCTTCTCATCCCACCCAAACACCACGTTTCCCGCATTCTACGAAGGCACCCGCGTGACCGGCTCGCAAGGATAGGGTGGCTCGGAGGAGAAGCGGGACACCTGGCAGATTGAGCCAGTTGAGCCGGTTGAGCCGGGAGCTTTCCAGCGGGGCTTGAGGCTTGACTGTCCGATACATGGGAGAATCACTCGGGCGTTTGGTAGTTACACTCTGACGAAGCTCATCACATGGAAGTGGATGGACCCATTGGAGGACTACTTTCCTTTACGAGGTATGGGGGTGGTTGGACTCATTGGGGGACGAAAGCACCCTGCCATCCTTCTTCGGGCCTTGGAAGTTTCCAAAACGGCAGGATTTTCATGCAGACGGCAGCCATATAACATGTACCACACTGCCAGGTGCCGTGCACAAGGGACAGAGCCTCCTACAGACCACTTTTCTACATAGACTAGCTGCTAGCTGCACACTTCACAAGTGGGCAAAGTCAAAACCAATATACATCATGTTCGCGCACCCGCCCGCCCTGTTGCTTCAAGCCCTCTTCACTGCTTCACAACAGCGATCCCCCACTGGTCGGACCGGAGGCTGGACAATCATCTTACACTGCATCTATCGTGTGGTACCGCTCAAGAATCCTTCCATGAGCAGAGGTTCTGTTTTGGCTTTGAAGAACATGTTTGGCGCCCAAAAAGGGCCAAGAAAAACAAAGCCTAACACGTGGCGCTCGGAACTTCGATCCTAACGAAGCTTCCTTTTCATCCCTGGCGCATGGATTTTCCCCGACGTGTTCACGCTCCGTGAAACGCTCCATCTCCTGCCGGGTGGGCCGCGCCTGTGCTGCACAGCTCTGAGGTCGACTCATCATCTGCGGCGCGGCGTTACGGAGGCGTTCGGTGGGAGGGCATGCCCTGGCACCCACGTCTTTAGACCGATGGAGGTGCGGAACCGCCGACCTTGGGATTACTTGTCGCCACTCTAAAAGCACTACAACTGGCAGTTCACGACTAGGGGGTCACTTCTCCCACATGTCTGGTCTCTCTCTCAACGGGCCCTATTCCTGCCGGTGACACCCTTTGACCAAACCACCCTTGTGCTGGACCTTCTGGACCAAACCATCAGGGACGTCAAGCTGGACCTTCCGTCACCCACCAGCGCTGATTCAAGATGTATGCAGCTTGTGTTGTACATCTTTAATTCACATAATTCATTGCGTCATCGCCCGGACTTGAGCGAGTTTGAATCACTCTTTCATGTCCTTCTGCACCGTTTTGTGCATTGCCTTTCTCTCGGGAAACCCCCATCAATACGGCGGAAGGGTTCTAGAGAAGCGTGACACGGATCGCAAGATAGAGACCAAACCACCCTTGTTTTACTAAGGCTTTGAACGAAAACAGCTCGCTCGCCGTTGGAACAGCGTCGCATGGACTTCCAGGGATGTGCCATGTCCAAATGTGAGGAGTTCGAGTCGAATCAGTGAGGTGGGATGAATGCCATGGACGAAACGACCTGTTTGGCATCCGCCCAGCTTCTCAACCGGAGGCGACCTAGGACCGGACCGCAAAAGACAGACCGTCCTGGTGGTTCAACCCGTTTCGTCCGTCTCGAGCGAAGAGAGGACGCCAGGCGATCAGATCGCACGAGCGCCCGCAGTCGACGCTCCGTCCGTCTCGTTCCACTCTGCCCGGCTGCTTGAGCGAGCGTGGGAGGGAAGAAAAAAGACCTTCGGCCTCCAAACCAGCTTGAGTTGGATGCTTCAAGATCTCCAAACCAGGATCCGCCGGATGATCCGCTCAATGAATCAGCTTCTGACAGAGTCTCTGAAACAGACCCTTCCTTTCGGGGTGCAAGACCACCAGGTGTCGGTAGCACCACCCGATGTTCGCGGGTCGTTTCACCACCTGCGGCGTCCACTGGCACGGCCACGTCTGCACGGGCACGCTGGGTGCCGGCGCCCGCGCCACCGGGCAGCAGGCGGACCATGGCAACGCAGGGACGGAACAGCTGGCGGTCAAGCGCCTGGCGAGGTTCTGCTCGGAAGCTGGGGGGGAGTGTGGTTGTTGGGTGGTGGGAACGATCCCCTCTTCTCTGGCAGTCAGGTCGATTTCACCCGCTACAAACGGGGGTACCAGATCTTTGGCTTTGCACCGCACCAGCCGACCCGCCTCTCCGGTGGTGGCGACCAGTTGCGCGAGGGCAGAGTGCAGGAGCCTGGCGCGACGGGACGGTGTCACCACACGGCACGGTGGAGCAGATTCGACCCGTGCAAGGCCCTTGTCCATGTCCATCTGGGGAGTGACGAGTGATTTTCCCGAACACAAGAAGCAGCTGGTGCTCCCATGCTCCAACTGTCCACGTTGCGGATGTCCTAAGAACGAGGAAAGGTTTCTCTCGACGTGCCGAGAGAGCAAGCTAAGTCGGTACACCGCAGCACCAGTTCTTTTTCGATCAAGTTGCCATGACCCAGAAGTTAGGGTGTGCATGTGCAACTCTGCAAAAAGAGAAGACCCCCAGCTGAGCTGCAGGTTTTGGTCTACCGTTCCTTTTGCCGATGGGTGGAGCCATATCCTGTTCTTGTTTACACTTTTCTCGGTGGTGCCTAGAGGTGTTCACCAAGAGCGAAGAAATAGTAGCCTTGCAATTGACGCATGTTTGTAGGATTCTAACATCTCCACTGGTGTTGGAAGGCTGCCAAGCCTCAAAACATAAACTCCCTCAAAGGCCTCCAAAGAAACAACATGGGGACACTTGACAAAGATTGGGCAGGCCACCCCGAGTGTTCGGAATGGAAGGAGAGCGGGGGGGCCAGGCAGTGGCAACCATAAGGTCCGCTTCGCATCCCCCAAAATCGGTTGTGAAGACCCTGCAGACCTCACAATGATCATGATCAAAACTCCACACATGTCATAGTATGAGTAGTCCTCCTCCAGGATTTCCAGGGGCCTTTACCTTGTAAAAGTTTCGTGCCCCCATCACCCACTAAAAACAGTGCTCTTCGAAGTAGATAGAACAGCAAAAAAAACAGGTCCTCCTCTGCAAAATCATCTAATCCGTTTCCAGGACCCTCCCAGTGACCTTTTGAGATCCCAGTGACTGAAGTTGGGTCAAGTCACGTCTACCAAGCCTGAAATTGAAACTCCAAACTTGGGGACCACACAAACCACACAGTCTTCAATCGCTTCTGACGGCACAGATTCCTCAACTCCAGCCCAGCTCCTTCTCCCTCGGCCTGGTGCCACATCTAGAGCAGGCGCTCGTGCCAGCTTCAGCGAGCCTGCTGGTTGTGGCGGTTTTGCGCCTCCCCACAAGTGTAAACTCTCATTTCTGAAACTTCTAGAAAAAAGCAGCACCTTCCATTCGTGGGCACCTGGCTGGTAGGTAAACCCCACAAAGAACTGGTGGATCTCCAAACAGGACACCCCAAAAGGAAGGTTTACGTGTGTATGATTCATCAAACCAGGCGTTTCACCCTGGACACCCGTCGAGATCCTCCCAAAAAACCGAGGAGACAGGACTGTCCGTCGAGGTACCTCGAAGCTGAGGGACCGCCTTTTTTGGACCAGCCACCCAACAGCTGGCCGCCCTTCCATGGTCTTTTCCTCTTCCAATCACAAAAACAAAAAAACGAGCATGTTGGGCACCAAAGTTCTATTCGCTCAAGACCATCCCCCAAAAAACGATTCTACAGACCATCATGTCTGGCGTCTTTGGGGTCCTGGGTCCTTGGACTTCCCCTCGCGCGCCCGCGCGCGCGCGGAGCATCATCCGCGAGCATCAGCACCTGAGCGGCTCAAATTGGCGCCCTCCGGCGTGGGCACCTCCATCTCCGGCACTGCCTGGAGGCTCGTGGGGCGGAGGGGGTGAGACATGCCAGTGGGGGGCGGGGTTGACCGGAGCTCACAAGGCGGATGCCAGGGAGACACAGTTGGTTTGGGAAGGAATGGATTTGAGGTGATTGGAACTGAGGGTACCTGGCTTGAAGTTGGGAAGAATCATGGAAAGGATGGAATGTCAATGGATTTTTCATGGCCATTACAATTATGAGCAATTTTTTAAAAAATACAGGTTGGTCCCTCTGTCCCTCATCAGTGTTTTTTCGAATGACCTGGGTGGGGCAGTGAAGGTCAAGCCTCAGAGGCTGTTCTTTTGCATGATTCTGTGCATTGATTGGGGGGCCATCCGGGCACCACGCAAAGAACTGCAGCAACTTTTTGAGAAACAGCGGGATCGCCACACTGGCGCACTTGCAGAATCTTGCAGAATCTTGCAGAATCTCCATCTGATTGCCCAGCAATCCCAATATCCATAACCTCTCATCCATCAATGCTCTTCCCTTGAGAAGGATCTCATCGAACACATACCTATACCCCTCCTGTCATCCCTTCTCTCCAGCCCATTCACCCATCCACCCACTCTTCCCCTCCCACCCTTCCCTGACGTCCGTTGCTTTCCTTCAACCCTCCCACACAAAAGGCACGACGCGTCGCGTCACGCGGCCTCCTGGAGCCGCTCCCGCAGCTCAAGACGCTCCCGCGCCAACTCCAAGCAACGGCGTGCTTCCTCCAAGAGCTCCTCGTGACTTGGCGGCTCCTCCGGGAATAGAGAGAGAGAGAGAGAAACAAAGTGACTTGGTGCCATGAGGTCCTGATCTAGGGAAGAATCGAGGGGTGCCAAGGACCAGATACCGCTTGGTTGTACACTTGGGGTATCCCCTTTGGTAATCAACCCACCAATAGTACAAGGCCATCGGAGCTCTTGGGATCAGTATGAAGGGTTCTGAGTGTAGATGGTGCATGTTGATCAATTGCACCAGAGAAAGAGAAGGGGTTTGAAGTTTGAAGGAAACTGGTGCACACCAAGAGTGAAACGAAGCGTGATCTCATCTCGCCAGCATGGTAGGCGTTCCTACGCTGTTCATCAGGAAAAGCCTGCCCCATCCACCATTCGAAGCAACACCCGAGTCAACTTCCCCCATCCAAAACCTCACGGCTGACGGATCGACTGACCAGCGCCGGAACCGGCCCTTCCCCACGAGGCCGGCCTCACGAGGCCGGCCGGCCGCGCCTGGAAGCCCACGCCTTCTTCCAGGTTTCGACCCAAGCTGATGAGGTCCCAGCCTTCGTCGCGAGAAGCACCAACACCCCACCAGTGAAGCTGCAGGAGAAAACACTCGAAAAGTGAAATGTGCCAGAGGAGTCACATGGAGTTGAGTGGTTTCTACCATCCAGTGAGTGGAACACCCTGGATCACCCCGACTTCTTCGGATAGCACCCCCCTCTTGGAACTGCTATAGGGTGTGTGTGTGTGTGTGGCTTCTTTTCCGTTTCCGTCTCCAGAAACTCGGCCTGTCCACGCCGGTCTCGTCAACCAAGGCACAAAGGTGTCGAAAGGACTCGTTCTCCTCTTGAGCTCTGGCCAGGGTCTCCTGGGTCCATTGGCTTCGCAGTTGATCGCTTCCTGTTGATGGGTACGGAACGAGATCGATTTGATCTCTATATTTAGCTGATTTGGGGATTGGTTCCTCTGGTGCCGTTGTTTCTTTCGGCCAAGGATGGACAACCGGTCACATGGGCCGTCACATGAAGACGTCACGACCGATGGCCTCCCCGTTTCACCTGCTTGGTCGGTCACTTCCGGAGTCTGTGAAGTCTAAACCGCTGTGGAGATCGAAAGGTCCCTGCTCCTCGAGCTCACTTCTCATCAGCCTCAGTCGGCCAACCTACGGCCGTGGAACAAACACGGCGAAGGGACATCGGGGGCTGATGTGACAGCTGCGAGTATCTCCAAGAAGCCAGGGCTTCCACGACTTCTGGTCAAGTTCAAAGGAAAAGTGGATTGACACATGACACAAATCGAAAGTGGATGGCACCCGCAATTCCAGACAAGCCCAGTTCCAGTTCCTATGAACATGGGCCATGGTGAGCATCGTTTCAAATGATTTGTGTCTCAAAGCCTAACCATCTTCACGGCCTTACGGATCAAGGTGGACAATGAAAGGATAAGTAATATATAGATGCTGGACCAGGTGATACAAGGTGCTTGGAAGAAGGCTTGGTGCCTATCACCTACAAGAGAAAATGCCTCTGAAGATAAATCGACGTCGAAGTGCTTGATCCTTGACCCTCATCACTGATTTCCTCCCAAAGTATCCTGCGATATCCAATGATTGAGACTTCTCAACATACCAAGCCTTGCTCAATTCGCAAAGCACAGAATCAGATTTCTTGAGATGTCACTTCAACTGAGACTCTATTCATCGCAGGCCTTCTGGCTGAGATCAATAGATGCATGGCCCAAAGCGGTGTTCATCTTTGCCCAACTCCCCCAAGAAGGGCGATATGTCCCAAAACATCTCGAGATCTTCAAACTTTAGCTGAAATTTCCATGAAGATCTCAACATCTGCCAGAAGAACTGGACACACAACGATCTTCCATCAGGGCCGGCCATGGGCAGACTCGCCCAGGTCACCCCCGCCACACGCCCAAAGCAGCCAAAGGTACCGAATCTCGCCCATCCCAAAGGAGGCGTCCGCTGGCATACCTTGGGAACCGAGATCTCGGACGGAGACATCGGTTAAAACCCAAGCCCCCCCCCGGTGAAAAGGGTGAAAAGGACATGGCATTCAGTGAGAACACTCCAGGCAAACTCCATCGCCCACGCACTGCCGCCGGCGCTGCGACCTCCGAGGTGCTGCCTTCCAAGATGGACTCCAGCTTTGCCGGATCAAAGGGTCGATCGAAGCCGAAGGAGGCGGATTTCTCCACGTCCAGCTGACCCTCCTTGGTGGTGATCCCGAAGCCATCCTCAGTGCCACGCACGTGCACGGCGTGGAAACGCACATGTGCTCAATCAGCGCTTGAGCTTTTTGAAGACACCGTCTAAGATGGCGTCCAGAACTGGACAGGATGGTCACCCTTTAAAATAGGCTGGAATTTCATATGGTCTTAGCCTTAGCTATTTCTCTTTATATGATTCACCCCTTTATGTCACTTCATCAATATTCTATCTTACCAACGCATGAAAGTGGGAAAAGGTGTAAAGATAATAAAAACATGAATGAATAAATCGAGGTCACTAGGGTTTTTTGCGACCGTTCGAAAAGGATCTTGAGCAGCAAGAACTACTCGCTGTGAAGGTCGTAATCCAGATTCAAATCCCAAATGTTCCCCTAGGCCCTAGTTCACCCACTTCAACCTGCGAAGCCTGCCATTCCATCCGTCCCATAACACCCTCTGGTCCCTACTGCGGCCCCCCCAAAAAGAACACCACCTCCCACCTCCGACGTTGGCTGAAAAGAGGCGTTGGTGATGCCGAAGACCGGCCACGTGGAAGGATCCAGGGAACTCAGCTCCCAGCTGTGGCGCCGCACTGGGGTGTGCGGATCATCGGAGGCCTCTCCGCTCATGCCGCTGCCACCTGCGGACGGGCTCGGAAGGCGTGTGGCGCGGTGGGTGGAAGGCGTGTGGACCAGTGGAAGAGTGGCGCGAAGGACTCGGTGTTTGTTTCAGTCAGTTGCACTCCCGGTGGACCCCAAATCAGTTGACTGCCCTAAGTCTGCATCTCGAAAAGATGTACATTGCTCTCTAATTGTTAATAATGTAAGAAGCAGAGCAATCCAGAGGTCATTGCACCAACACCATGGAATACGTGGAGTGAGGGGCTGGTGAAAGAGAACTCGTCAAATGCCATATTATAACTATAGCCTGTTTGGAGCAGAAGGCACTTCATGGGCTTCCTTGCAACTGGAGTTTCCAGGCTTTGCACCAGCCTCCACTTCCCCTACATGGAGAGGTTGAAGGCGATCGAACCTTCATAAGTGACGCTTCCACAGGCTCCTCGCCCCAAGCGCTCGCTCCCGGACACCCGCTTCGCCCGAAAAGCGGTGGCACACCGCAGCGCCTGACTCTGTCTTGTTGACCGCTACGAGGTTCAGTGGCATGGGGCTTCCGTCCTCCAGCTCCGAGCACACACTCTTGCCCGAGCGCATGACCGAGCGAAGGGACGTCGACCTGAGCTGAGGAGGGACCGCTGAGGACAGAGCTCCGGGTGCCGAGCACCCGAACGAACGGAGGGTGGAGCAAGTCAAGGTGCCCCTGTCACATCCAGGGGAGCCCCTGGATGGGACCAAAAACAACACTCAACTCCAAGTGACTCTTGGCACCTGGAGGATAGAGGTGCCCCTGTCACATCCACGGCGCCTGGATGGAACTAAAAACCCACCTAACTCCATGTCACTGGGTGATTTTTGTGACTCGCTTTGTGGGACGAAACGCCTCCCGTTTCCCATGAGGCCTGGAATGTTTTGTTCGGCCGCGGCTGGACGGCCCCTAGCGACCTTGTGGGACTGACTTCAGGTGACCTCCTTTACACCCAAAAGGTTCTTCCAGATGTCTGACTGGGGTACTGGGATGTCCTGCGTCTAGAAGTCATTCATCTCAACCAGCTCCACTGCCTGGCTCGGGAAGATCCCTCCGACCCCGAGCTTCGCCCCCCGGTCACCGAGCGGCGGCAAGCGCAGCTCCGTCTGGGTGGCCACGGAGACGCGGCGCGAGCCCGAGAGGCTGGAGCTGGCGCGCGCCTGGCGCGGCGCGCGGCGCGCGCGAGAGAGTCGCTCGAGGCTCTCGTGATCTGGCGAAACGCTTCAGCAAGAGAGTCACGGGCCCAATCGGCCACTGTTCGGGACTCATCGGATGACGAGAACGAGTCACGTCGGACAGACGTTCCGAAGGGTTTCTGTGTGTTTGTTTTCGCGCCGCTCGGGTGGGGGCTGGGTGGGCTGCGGGTCCGTTGCGAGGGGCAGGAGATCCAGGCCACAAGTGATCTGAGCCGGTTCCAAGGCCACAAGCGATCAAAGGCCTGCTTCTTCCCACTGGCCGTTCAACTGCTCCCATGGTCAATCTCCCAAACTGCCCCTCCCTGTCCAAGACTGGCAGTGTGCGGCTGATCGCATGAGTTCATGGGCTGCCGGGCGTGTGGAGTCGGGCCACGGAAAGCTCCGTGGACTTCGATTTCGGAGAACTTTGAGGGGCGCATCGGCGAGAAAACAACTGTAACGTGCGGGTGTGACTCCGTCTTCATGGATTTCTGGAAAGAGAGAAAATGGAGAGATCTCTGGACTTCTAAAGAGGAATCGGGTTTTCAATCCGATAGTCAGGCTACGCATTGGATGTTTACCAAATTTATGTCTGTTCAAGCCAGATCTGAAGTTGTTGGTTCTGAAGCTCCAGAAGGTTCTGAATCAAGCTCCATCAATCCACCTCAATGGAGCAGAAGGGGAGCCCCAAAACAATCGCTCTTCCGTGCATGGCCTAGGACTCAGAAGTTTCCATATTGCCTTGAAAGAAAGGACCAATACCTTCTTCCTCGAGGGTGCATCTGCCAACCTGCCAACCCTGCGCCAGCCCTGCTCAAGAGCAGCCCTGCTCAAGAGCAGTCCTTGACCTTGACTTGACAGTCAGGCCCCGTTGGAAAGAGCTTCCCAATCGCTCAACCGAGAAACCCCACCCGACCGACCCCCGAAGCACTGGGTCGACTGCTGCGAAAACCCCACTGACCGGGCGCCCGCCTTGGGCCTCACGAGTCCTTTGGCTTTGGGCTTGGCCTTGGGAGCACCTGGCAAAGGCTGCTTCGGACTGATCAAGGCTCAACTTGGTTTCAGAACTTTGTGAAGAGGCAGGTCATACCCTAACCCTAGGATTCCAACCACCATTGATCGATTTAATAGGCTTTACCGAACCACCATTGTTTTACTAAAGGTCCCGAACCAGGTCAACCATTGCTTAAATGGTCTTGGAAGCCTAGGGCTAAGATACCCCAAGGCATGCCATATATGCCATGCGGAGTCTCGGAGCTATTTGGACCCAAGGCTCAGGAGTTCCACTTCCGTTGGAAGGGGCCCGATCTCCACTGAGAACATGACCCCCAACACCAGCGCCCGAACTCCACATCCGGCTCAGCCCGGTGAGCCGGGGGCCGCCACCCCATCCTGCCTCGCACCGGCGCACTTTGGGCCGTCCGGCGCGCGGGGGAGCTGAGCGCCATGGCGGTGGCACCGAACGCGTCGTTCGCGCCGAACACGCGGCACGTCGTGGCGGGAACTCGGACTGAACAAGACCGGGACGTGCGTGCGGAGCGTGGCGGAACGTGTCGGGTTTTTCCACATGCAAGGGTCGGTCTGGTGTGGGACATCAACGGTCGGTGCCCCTTCTTCTGTGCGAGATGCAACTTCATGGTAGCCAATACGCCTGCTGTGGAGTGAGAAGAGATGCTCAACGAAAGGTAGCGAGAGGGACGTCGAAGCTTGGACGCCGCGACCGGACGCAATTCGACCGGTGGATCGGGCTGTCGTGACCGTTCTTGGGCTGTCGTGACCAGGGTTCTCGGCTCACGGCCTTGAAGTTTGTCGGAGATCGAAAAAGGATCTTCCCATCATCGCGATCAATGGGCTGGATCCGGAAAAGCCCAAAAAGGACGAGAATTTGTGGCAACCTGCGCAGCCTGCACATGTTCACGCTTGAAACATGCAGAGAGCTCTGGCCAATGCAGCCTCCTCACATAGAACTCGTTCTTTCTCAAAGTGTGCATCAAGTCAGAAACAATTTACAGTTCAAACAACGCTCTCGGATCGAATGACCTTCATAAATTAGTGCTGTTGCACGCTGCCACTTCGCGAGATCTAGAAAAGCAGAAAAGAGGAAACTTGCCTGCAAAGCGACAAGAAAAGAAGTTATTCTTGGAACTCAAAACGCTAGCGGCTAGGGCCTAGCGCTTGTGTCCACTCACACGAAAGAACCTCAAAACGCAAGGGTTCTGCTCGACATGTCACACGCTTCAAGGACAGCGTACCAGCATCTGCCTAGCAGGTTGGCCAGGGGACACGACACCGCCCAACACCGCTGCCACTTGGGCACGTGAACTCTCCCTCAATTTGGACCCGACCCGACACGAAGATGTTGTTTCTGTTGAGGCAAGCCACTGGCAGTCTGATATGCCAGGAAAGAAATGGAGAAGACCCTGTATCTACTAGTGTGTTATCAACCATGGATGATGGCAGTACTTGACTTATCTCAAAACTCATTGGATGCTCAACCACCATGAGACATCCCTGCCTGCTCGCCTCCGCTGGCCTGCGGAAATGGTGAGACATGGTTTCAGCGTTACTCTGGAATTTGCCACTTCAAATGAAGGGAGAACAGCAAGATCTTTTGTTGAAGTAAGTTAAGTTCTTATTGCTTGAACGCCAGATGGCCCAGCGATGCCTCACAAAGGATTTTTGGCCGCAGATCATCTTAGACCATCTGAGGTCAAGGAGCAGAGCCTATGCAGTGCCCATGTATATAAGACAGATCTTGCTCTCTGCAACCAGATGCAAGTCATTGAATGCAAGTCATTGAATGCAAGTCATTGAATGCAAGTCATTGAATGAGTCGCAGCCCAAAGGCGGCTAAAGAGACTTCGCGGGCCAGGTATATCATGACTGCTCCAGCGGACACGAGAGTGGGCAAGCCGAAGAGCCAAAGCATCCTGACACCAGATTTGTGCGCTGCCAAAGCCTCTTGATATGTGACAGTGGCATCTTTTGCCAGCTGCACTCCCCCGCACTTGATCTTTGTGAGAACAAGTGTTTTGGCAACTTCTAGCGGATTCGTGAACTTGCCCACATCCGTCAAAGCAGAAATGTCGGTGACAGCATCAGCTTCTGGCTTCCACTTTTCGGTGAAGGCTTGAAATGCCTTGGTCACCGCCACCTGGCAGATCAGGTCCCCCCTCATCCCAAAATACACCGTTGATCATCAACTAGCCGATTTTGGGGTCCCAATGTTTAAGAAACTGCTATGTTCCCCATAGGGCTCAGGGCTTGGTGATGACCCCCTCGGCGACACCACCACAACCAAGGATTTCTCAGCCGACGCCTCACACGGTCCAGAGCCGGGAGCAAGTCCTTCCACGAGCGCTTCGCCTAGAACCAAGGCCCCTTGCATTCCGCAGTTCACCCCTTGACCTTGGCGAGAAGCATTATGAGCTGTTAGCATCATCCTTATTTATCAATCTACAGATATCTACAGTAATCATTTTTCGCTGCTCACATGGGTTTCAGGCGAAGCTAGGTGAAGCTAGGAGACCAATGGGTGGGAATGGAGCTCCGGCATCGCCCACCAGCACACAACGCCCATGGGACCACGGAGAAACCATCTTTCCTTTGCCCGTCGCCTGAGGCATTCGCGCCTGGAATTCCTGCAGCGACTTGTCACTCACGTAGCGAAGGAGGTCGGTGCTCTTGGGCCAGCCACTCTTCTTCAACTTGGTCTTCAGATCTTTCAAAGAAGCTTCTTGCAACCACTTTCCCTTGTCGAGACCTTTGAAGCCAACCTGGCAAAACCACAAAGGATCAGACTTTCCACCGTTGCCATTGATTGCACCGGCAACCAGGAAGGGGTCGGTGCCGAAAATGTGCAGAAGCCCCGGATCAAGTTCGGAAGTGTTTTGATCCATGTGGAGCATGATGCTGTAGTTCTCCATGTTGATAGAGCTCATGGCAAAACTTGGAAGTTTGGACATGACACCACGCAGTTTGCTTCCTGCTCCATCTGCCCCAACCACAACGTCAAACTCGTGGACCGCACGTTCTCCGGCCTTTGAAGTGGTCTGCACAGTGCCTTTCATCATGTCTAACACCTCGGCCGTGGTGTCAAACAGCACTTCTACGTTCGGAGAAGCCGCTTCATCGATGACACCAAGCAAGGTTTTGCAAATGTCTCCCCGTGACCCGGTCCAACCATTGCCATCAAACCAATGATCTTCACCAGTGATGAGAATTCGGAGACCTTTGAACTTAATGAGCTTTTCGTCGAAGAGCTCGGTGGCACCAAGAGCCTCCACTGCCAAAGCACCATGACCAGTGATGTCAATTGTGTAGGATCGGTTCGGATCGTAGCTCGCAGCAGCTTTGTGATCAGCACCTTGTTCGAACACTTTCACGGAAAATGCCGAAGATTTCTTGGCCAAGGTGGCCGCAAGCACCAAGCCTGCTGGGCCAGCTCCGATGATAGCAACTCTGGTACTCATGGAAAAAGGACTCCAAAGGGTCTTTTCCAACAACCAAAGCTTGTAACTCCGGCGAGCAGCTAAGAATGGGGGTCTGAGCCAAATCTTCGAGAATGGCAGGTGCAAAACAATGAAAAACATGTCAGCAGAAAGACCTACCCACTGGGCCACTGGGTTTCATCCACAAATCCTGAGACAAACGATTACTGGTATCTACTAGCATCTACGAATATCTACTAGTATCATCTAGGATCTACTACTGTGTTCTCAACCATGGATGATGACAGTACTTGACTTATCTCAAAACTCATTGGATAACCACCATGAGACATCCCTGCTGTCCTCCGCTGGCCTGCGGAAATGGTCAGACATGGCACGCCGCCTTGCCTGTGGCGCTGACACGCAAGTGTTCATTGATGGCCAGGAATGGTTCAAAAAAAAAAATAGTGGATTGTTAATAATGGTTAGTTATTTAATTGTCAACAATGGGCTGCGTCAGGGTGAAAAGTGTCTATGATCTACACTGCAAACTCTACTCATTATATGATGTTATACGGTATGGTCAATCACTGCTAATCAAAGGAAGTTTAGAGGAACTTCGGTGTTACGAACATGTACATTAGCTGTAATTCTATATAGTTAATTGTTCTACCACTGATCTCTAGCTCTTCTTCACTGTTCTACCATTGATCTCTAGCTCTACTTAATTGTTCTACCATTGATCTCTAGCTCTAGTTAATTGTTCTATCATTGATTTGTGGCTCTAGGTCATGGTTCTACCACTGATCTGTGGCTCCAGTTCATTGTTCTACCATTGTCTGCAAGTTGCATGGAAGTGTCGCGGAAATGCTTCGGCTCATACCTTTGCAAGTTGCATTTTGGAAGGAAGTCTCGCAGCATTGCTTCGTTTCACACATGTGCAGCTTGCATTTTTCGTGGCAGGCGCAGCACTTTGTGAACATCAAAGTGCAGATTTCGTGGCAGGCACAAACCTCCATGCGCAGATGTCGTGGCAGGCACAGCACTTTGTGAACCTCGATGCGCCGATGTCGTGGCCGTGGCAGGCACAGCACTTCACACATCTGCAACTTGCATTTTTGAAGGAAGTCTCGTACGAAATGCGTTTTTGAAAGATAGCAGACGCACGAAATGCTGTGTTTTTGCGTGCGACATGCTTCTCCGAACCTCGATGGGGAAACTCAGGGGGAACGACGGTTGCCGGACGGTCTCCCGCCATGGTCGGATCATGGTCGGATCATGGTCGGATCGGTTCCGCAGTGGCACAGTGGTTTCAGGTGTTCGCGGTGTTGTCAGGTGTTGCCGATTTGGTGGCAGGCGAAGCACTTTGTGAACCTGAATGCGCAGATTTCGTGGCAGGCGCAGCACTTTGTGAACCTCAATGCGCAGATTTCGTGGCAGGCACAGCACTTTGTGAACCTCCATGTGCACAGTTTGTGGCAGGCACAGCACTTTGTGAACCTCCATGCGCAGATTTCGTGGCAGGCACATCACTTTGTGAACCTCCATGTGCAGAGTTCGTGGCAGGCACAGCACTTTGTGAACCTCCATGCGCAGAGTTCATGGCAGGCACAGCACTTTGTGAACCTCCATGTGCAGATTTCGTGGCAGGCACAGCATTTGTGGCAGCTGAGAACTGGCGACGTTGTAGTACAACTTTAGTACACGGAGTATTTGCGAGGCTGGAAGATGAGAACTGGCGACTTTGTAGTACAACTTTAGTACGCGGAGTATCTGGGGAGCTGGAAGATGAGAACTGGCGACTTTCTAGTACAACTTTAGTACGCGGAGCAATCTGTGGAGCTGGAAGCTGAAAACTGGCGACTTTCTAGTACAACTCTAGTACGCGGAGTATCTGGGGAGCTGGAAAAAGAGAACTGGCGACTTTGTAGTACAACTTTAGTACGCGGAGTATCTGGGGAACTGGCGACTTTGTAGTACAACTTTAGTGCGCGGAGCAATCTGTGGAGCTGGAAGCTGAGAACTGGGGACTTTGTAGTGCAACTTTAGTACGCGGAGTATCTGGGGAGCTGGAAGATGAGAACTGGCGACTTTGTAGTACAACTTTAGTCCGCGGAGCAATCTGTGGAGCTGGAAGCTGAGAACTTGGGACTTTGTAGTGCAACTTTAGTACG